AATCATAAGATTTATATAAAAATTAATGATAAATTATACTGTATGTAACTTTCGATAAAAACAATACAGAAAATTGACAAGATTATGATTAGCATATATAAGAAAATATGAGAATATTTTTGGTCGAAACTTAAATGTTAAGATAAAGAGCCATTTATTTCTCAAGTGCGTGTTAATTCCGTGTGTGCATATGTATAGACATTAGACAGTCAATGTTTATAGAATAAATCCTTGTCTATTATGTTTACGTTGACTTCTTGATAAAGTTAAAACATTGGCCCCAAACTCGTAGTATCAATGGGTTCGGTAAAGGCGGGTTCCATTAGAATTGAAATTGATAACAATAAATTATAATATAAACCATGATCGAGTTATCTTCTTTTCTTAATGAAGAGTTATATCTTGTTCAAGCTTTAATAAATTCCCACTAACTTCAAAGTTGAGTATAATATATGGACCGTTGAAGAACTTATGATTATATGTTACTCGTATGATGTTATAACATGTATACACAAGTATACAACGATTAATAACGGGAGTTGATTTTTCGCGTTGTGTCTTGTGAATTTTGGCTAAATTACTAGTGAATTATTTATGCGTTTACAATATAAATAGATTATATATCTATTTGTTGCTTTAGAATTATTATTTTTTTATAAAAAAATAATGTTATTCTATAATTCTAATGTGACTTTTAAAATTAATTTTATTTGGATTTAATTCATTATCATCTAATTATTTACATATCAAAGACATGTTTATATAATTAAAATTAATTTGTGTGAAATGTGTCAAAATGAAATGATGAAATATACTAATTAAAGATTTAACCATATTCGATTTAGTATGATATATGTTAAGGTGTTTAAAAAACAAACTTGAGAAATTTCAAAAACTGACACTTTTCAAGTGCCACTTTACAAAAATATCACACTTTTGAATTTTTTACAAAAATGCCACTTTTTCAAAATTATTTTTTTTATATTATTTATTTTTGGGTTAATTATGTTCTATTATTATTTAATTTTAAGTGTTTAGGGGGTTTTAGATGTCAAAACATTTTTTAGGGTTTAAAATTTTAAGATATAGGTTTTATAAATCTATAATTAATGACATTTTTGTAAATAGACACCCCTAAATGGTATTCTTACAAATGTGCACACAAAAAGTGGTATTTTTGTATTTGCCCCTTAAAACTTCCTTTTGAACTAAATGTTTATTTTTAATTAGAACTCATCAGTAGAGGATTAGAATGCGAAGCATCGATCGTACCGTGTTATAATTGATAAGTGTGAATATATTGTTACGTAATATTGTAGAGAGATACAACATGCAATGTAACGAACACGTTTCTTTCACCTGCTCGCTAGAAAGACTTAATTAAATATTGAAAAAAAAAAGAATATAAAACATGGGATAGTCTCCCTACGTTGAAAGCTTAATATAGTATTTAAAAAAAAAACTGTGGAAACTAGCTGTTGAAGACTGAAAGCAGATTAGGTACCATATGGGAACAGAAAATGAGATGTTGAAACATGGTCTATAACAAAAATTGAGTTGAGATATTATATATTTACACACATTAAAAGATAAGTTTTCTCTCGATTATCCAATTAGTATGTTGCTTAATCTCAGTTTGTAGAGTGTTTGTTCAGGATGTGCCTAAGCAGAGTCGTGCCTCTATGTAAAAAAAATAGAAACACTCGCTTATGGCATCAAAATTTTTAGAAAATCATAAAGGCATAATTTTTTTAGATTCAGTTATTTAAACTCAAATAATATACAAATATAGGTTAAATGTTTAAGATTTTATGATAGTTAGAATAAACAAAACATTTTTTTGTTAAAGAATCGAAAATGTTGTATAAAATTATTTGACACCAGAAAAAAGAATTGCGTCTGCCGGGAGGCTTCTAATGATGAAGTAACTAAAAATAAAGAAACAATTATTAATTATTAAAGAATTAGATTAAATTAAACATATAGTTAGTTTGTTACATACAAGTTTGAGTAACTTGGGTATCTATTAATTTTTTTGAGTAAATCAAATGAAAACTGAATGATTTAACTATTTATCCGTCAAAAATATATTAGTTATGAACCTATTTGGTTTTGAAAGTTTAGTTAACAATTTTGTTGAACAAAAAAATTATGTTTTATAACTAATGTAGTTTGTTTGATAGTTTAATTCTTTACTGTTTTTTAATCTATATAGAGTCAATATTTATTGGTGTAGTTATTTTTTTTTTAAATGAAATATTTTTTATTTTAACGCTTACGGCATCCGTAAACGTTGGTACTGCTCTATGCCTAAGAACATATTGTATGTATATGTGGCGTCGTCATACCACAACTGTGTAAAATCTTTGTTGGTTTAAGAGATCGTGATAGTGTTAGTAAAATCATCGGAGTAAGACAATGGTGCGTCAGAATCATCTCAAAATAGATTTATATGGGTATAAATTTATAGTTTTGTTTTTTAATAATTGAGAGGTGATTTAAAATTTGATCAATTGTCCAATTATAACTAAAACTGTTCTCCAGAGAAATTAAATTCAGATTTAAATTTTTTCTTTTTTTTTGGAAAACCTTAAACCCTTAATATTTTTACCATTAGACCACCACCATTTAATTAGTACTAAACTCATAGTTAGCTTCGAATAGAATACAACAAACTAATGAAGATTATTACGTGATTGTAATGTTGTAAATGGTTTATATTTTAAGTCATTTTTTTAACCTTTTTAAGTCGACTTGATATGAAGATGTAGGTTGGAAGAACCGATATCGTTAACAATTTGTGTCGTAATTATTTCACACACCGGTTCTCATCTTAAAATCACATATCTAGTCTCAAATCTGTAATTGCGATTAGTAAACATATATATAGAACAATTACATTTCATAATCATTAATATGTATTTTAAAAAGAAGAAGATAGAACTGAATTAATTTCCTAGTTTGGAATGTGATCATTCATTTATCCTCATATATATTCATAAAAAAAGAAGAAGAAGATGATCATAGAGATTTTCTTGCATTGCAATTAAACTATATAGATGATAGACGTGCACGACAATAATGATATAACTCGGTCGGGTCAACTACCCCATGTTATAATTTATTCGTTGACACAAAAAAAAAGTGTTTTAAATAACAATCCATGCTTTCTTCTTCTCCACACACAACACGTTCTATTCACATAGCTAATCGTATCGTTTTCCTTAACCGGTAAAATGTCTAGTATCCCAAATTCTGGAGTAGAGAAGAAAATAGCTTTGGCAAATAACTTGATCTTATGAAATAAAATAAACATGTATAAGAAGATAATTAAAAACAATGGCTTTCTCTATAGTTAAGAAAATAGTAAAAGTGCATTTTTTTTTTTACTTTTAATGTTTTCTGGGACATCTAAAATGATCAAATATATTTACGTTTCCGTTATTTAAACGTGATATTTCTTGTTTAGAGTTCTACATCAACATTTAAGTAGTAGTACTAGTATTTAACAAGTTAATCATTATTAAAAAACAAAAACAAAAAACAAGTTAATCATTATTATAACTTCACATAAAAGTTTGTAAAGAAACATTCAATACAATCGCACGATAAATTTTATACTATTCCCTTCACTACATAGGTTTTTAGTCACATTTTGTCAAATCTTTATTTAAACCATCTTGCAGATTTAAATATAAACAACTACTATTTGCCAATTATTTACCTAAAAGGCTAAAACCATCTTGCAGATTTCCTATATATGCTTGTGAATAAAATTACTTGGGAATAAAATTATTCATTTCAGTTAGTTTTTTTCTTCTCTAGTTTTGTTGTCACAA